CTGTAAGACAGTCCTTTAAGTGAGATGGTCGCAAACATCTCGCAAATGTTTGATTTTGGCTCTGTCTCTCTCTGTAGCATCAACACAGTGAGCAGAAGAGTGGCCATATCTGGACAGAAAGTCCCCCTGGTGCAGAGAAAAATGTTGCTGTCAATGTTGTTCTACGTCAACTCCTAGAACTTGTGGATCGCTATTGGGATGGTTCTGGCTCCCTTCTCCTCAATAAGGAATTTCTTGGTAGGCGGCTTGCCTAGAACCCCTGCTAGCTCTTACCTTTGGGAGACAGGGGCAAACAGCTCGACTTACCTTTGCCCATGGACTTGTGCCAGCTTGTTGTGGCATGACTTGCCTGTTTTCAATGCAGGGTGCCAGCCAGGGAACCTCTGAAGACCACCCACTGGCCTTGGGAGAAGAACTTCCAGGGTCAAAAGGAGTCTCGTTGGATAATTTAGCAGAGTAAAAGGGAACCACACAGCACATGTGTAAATTAGCTAAAAGAAAGTTTACTAAGAAAATTAGGAAGGGTTACTTGAGAGGATAAAAACAATAAACAGTCTAACTGACTAACTGTATCTTTCTAGTTAGTCAGTCACTTTATTATTACAGTCATCGACCAGTACATATCAATTTGAAAGACAAATAGAAAAATTCCTGACAGTATCCTGGCTGGTTATGAGCCAGAAAAAAACCCTTAGTAACATAAAAGCTTATAAGTTATATAGAATATAAAGTAAAACTACTGTTCAAACCTTTTAAACCATTTAAAAAGTCAGTTTAAAACAATTTTAGTTAAAAGGTAGAGATATGGTCTATTTGCCTCGCTTTTTGCGTTCCTTATATACCTGGGCGCAGAACCTAGCCAACCACGATATGGAGTTACTGTTACTCCAAGATGGATTCTCTGTCCTGATCTTAGAACAAAGGGAGCAGGAAGACCCCCCTCCAAAAAAATGCCTATGTGCAGAATATCAGGTAACATCACCCAACTATTGATCAGCCAGTGACCAGGCTAAAGGTCACTTCATCACAAATAGAACTTCCCCTCCTAGTGTGCACGACAGGTTTCTAAGCTAACTAACAATTTACATACACAAACCAACAGATTAACTCTTTCATAACATCCAGAAGTGACCTTGCAAATATCCCAACAAGTCTCCTGGGCAAAATCGAGCACAGGCACTTACCATCAGTATTTACCAAATTCCTAAAATGTGCCAGTTCACGTCTGAGGCCCTGTTTGTATTTCTGTTGTTCTGCAGCTCCAGCGCATGACTTGCTGATGAATCTGATGGCTGCTGCCCCCTCACAACGGGACAGTTCCTTCACCGCTGTAGCCGCACCAAGTTCAAACTCCACAGGCATCAATTACAGGATTCCTAAGGACCTGCCGAAGTGTTCTCAGGACTTTCCAGATGTAGACAAGCCTATGGTCTGTGCCTTCCTCTCTGACAAAACATCTGCCATCTCTTGGTTCCGTTTTTATCCCATACTCCTTCTAAAAGGTTCAGGGTAGGGGTGTGCAAAAAAAAAAAATTCTGCCCATTCGGATTCTGACGAATTGGACAGAATCAATTTCAGCTGGCAGTAAGACTCCCGCATGTCAGTTTCGTCAGTACCACCTGATTCCGGAGTCTTTCTGCCAGCCGAATGTCAATTTCAGCCCCATTATATCCTATGGGCC